CAAATAACATTAAAAAATAATGTGTGGAAAAATTCTTAATATGTGGGGGAAATGAAATCAATCAATGAAAAATTACCTTACCTAATAAATCAATGGAAACCTATAATATCCATGACCAAGGAATGACACAGATTTATAACTCGATATTTTCAAACAAAATGCAAACACTGCACTTAGAGAACTTTATTGTTATGAGTTAAATTTTAAAACACAGGTCAATTAACCACTTCAAGAGTTCAATATTAATTAACTCTCCTTCTCCAGTAAGTCACAAAACTTACTTTAAGCAATAACCCCATACCGACCTCTCTTTTATTTCATAAGGCTGCTACTAGGGTTAACAAAATGGATGTTTGGAGTTTTTTCATTATACTTTTTTCTAAAGCAGATGTGTGAAATCATTGTTCATATTTTCAAGGTGGTAAGCTTTTAGAGATTACTAAGAAAATGATTATTTTGCCAAGGCAAGAACATTGTCCACATTAAAATGCCTTATGTAAAACTGTGAGGTACTGGTTTGCCATAAGTTCTGATGGTTTCAGTTACTCCCAGGAGAAGACCCCAGGGACCCACAGGTGACAGGTGCCTCCTCTAACCCAATTCTATAGTGCACTGAGCAGAAAAGGCACATTCTCTGGGACATATAGCCAGAGTTAATAATACCCTACTCCAGGTCCTTGCTGCACAGAGGGATACATGTAAAGAGAAGTTTTAGTTAGGACATTAGAGGATGAATAATCAGTATACACTTTAACTAAACGCTCATTAGATGGGAGAGCTCTAAGGGAAAGACATGTCTTAGAAAAGAGGTGGTATAAGGAATATCAAAATGCATAATCATTGCAAAACATATTGGGGAGTTATTTTAATATACTTGATGTTTGGATCTTGTTTTGACTAGAATATATCGAATTATTGCTGCACTGATGACTTTTGAAGAAATCTTTAGAAGACAGAAGCAAAATGACTAAATATTCAGGCTTTAACTATAGCTCCTCATAATGTTTTGACACAAATAACTTGATTTATTTTTTCGAAGTTCCCATGGCATAAAGAAAACCTACAGGCAGTATTTGCCCTGTCCCTGGCAGCCTGTGGCTTCACTGTAGAGGAGGTTACTTGTCATCATTTTTAAGCTACTATGTCTTAGTAGTCTTCACATCAACTATTTAGAAATCCGTTTCACTTCCCATTATATCAGAGATGTCTCTTTTTCATAGAAATATTTTTGTAGATTCAAATAAAATGTCTTTTAGTAACTTGGAATTAAAAAATAAGTTGTAGTAAAAAAAAATCCCCTAAAACAGTGAAGATTTAGCATCCTAGATTTATGTTGAATAATATTGGACTTTTGTAGTTGCAAATCAACTCAAACCCTTTATCCATTTTGAAAGTAGTGTTAGGTTATTCTAGGAGCAGATGTTGTAGCTTGATCTTCCTGCATCATGGTAAACCTGCATTCCTGGACACCCTGAGAGTGAGACATGGGGCTCTGGGTGTCTACAGAGATTGGTGCTCTAGCCAGACTCTGGTCAAACCCTGAGTACCTTACACAGGCAGTACCTTGTTTCATGGTTTGGGATTAAACTTCTTTGTAGTACAAGGGACACACTGACTTATCTCTGGAAGATGATGTACCATCCTCTCAACCCAGTAAAATATCAACCAAGGTCACATTCTATGCATTCGTCCAAGTATAAGTGTCTCTGATTTCTACTATAACTGTGTCAATTAACAAGCCATTAGAAATTTAGGAGAACAAAGCTCTCTTTGGTGGATTGACAAGTGGGCAAATGAGTTCTGGAATGGCCAAATACTCCCCCATCTTCCAGGGTGGAAGGATGTATCTCACAGAAGAACTAGGTAAACCTAGACGTGTGAAGAATTGAGTGCAGGACTTTTACGAGGCAGCAGATTTCTTGCGACATTTGGAAGAAATAATAAAGGTACAGGAAAAAATAACACATAGCCTAGGAAGACTGACGGTCTTCCTGATGGTGTCCCCCCTCATCAATAAACAGCTTCCTTTCCTGCTTGGCTTGACATGTAGTGCAAACAAATTTCTCGACTAAGCGATAAAATAGGCACTAAACATAACTCTTTAAAACCTTGCTCCACATCAAATTCAGTTGACATTTTTACTGATATGTGTTATTATCTCTCTCTCTATCTATCTATCTCTTGTTTCTTTTTTTTAATGCTTCCTTCTTCCTTGCCTTAAATAAGGGCTTCAAGCCATTAGAAGGGAAGAAAATGTTCTTCTAAGATCATTGTGGAATAAAAATACTTGTGGACCTAAAAGATTTGGTTCCACAAAGGACATATTTGCTCAGCCTAAAGGATACATGTTCTGAGTAATATCATCGACACTCACATCTATAGATCATCAGGCCAGTGGTGACTATGCAATACTGAAACCATTCACTAAACTCCCAAGAGCATCACTGCTCTTGTTTCAGAAATGCAAGCACACACCCACACCAAAGTCTTCTGGGAACTGTGCCCTTTCTTCATGGAAAACATGACAACATGACTTATTGTGAAACAAGATGTCCATTTTGACCATTTGTGTGTGTGTGTGTGTGTGTGTGTGTGTGTGTGTGCGCACACACGCGCACCTGTAATTACTTGACATGCATTAGTGGAATGGAAACCTTAGCCTTCTCCAAATGTGATTGAGACCAAACATGCAATTTTCAAGAATTCCAAGCATGTGTGCACTTTAAAAACATGATCAAACACCCAGTTCACTCAATCTTAACAACAGCCTGCTATAGAAATCCAACTGAGGGTTTTTGATGTGTGCATAACCTGAATATGGATCTACATATGGCATTTTTATGAACTTACAATATATGGATTCCAGCTGCTCTTGGCAGATGAACTTTTGGATGATGGTGGGTGAACTTCAGGTACTCTGTAGGCCATGGACTTCTGAGGCAGAGGGTACAATGTGGAGAGAATCTCTGGGTGGCCTGCAGTTGAGTCTTTCTATGACAAGACCTGGTTGAACTATTGTGTGCAAAGTGTCACACTAACTGGATGCTTTAGTTGGTTCGGGGTCCTAATATATTAGCACTGACAATGAGGTTCAACATTGTCTTCACAGTGTGTATAATTTTGTGCCTAGACTTTGTCTACTTAATGGATTTCCAAGTGTGTGTCCCTCTGGGATGATACTAAGCATACTCAGTCCAATGAAACCTTCTTGGAAGTGTGAGATTACTGCAGCCTAGCTGATCTTTCTGTCCCCTGTTGACCCAAGGCCTGTGCAGGACTGCATCCTGAAGTGCATACAGTTCAGATGACATCCCTTCCAAATTCCAAAACCATATACAGCCGCATGAGAATGATCTAGGCTTATATCATCACTCACGCCTGATGCAGAACAAGGGCCCAGGAGGACTGGCTCACATGCTGCGGAAGGCTTCAATATTTTACTGAGATGGTATAATTGCAAAGCCCCAGAGCTGCGTGCAACTGAGGTCCTATCCTTTTTCCCACACTGAATTGTGGTAATTCAAGCTCTCCTTCTTCACACTAACATGACAGACGATTCTGCTCTTGTGTTCCCATTTTCTTACATGGTTAGCATTTGAAAATAGAGCAAAGTTACTGTGAAGATAATGACTCTGTGGCCAGTGAAGTCTGATACTGTTGAGCATGGAACTTTGCAAAAGAAAGCTGTGGTGCTGCCCAGGAATGGACCGGCAGGCTCTGCTTTCCTTTCCATCCCATCTACAAAGGAGCAAGACTTAGTCTTGCTTATTTAAAGCTCCCTGGAGTAAAACCAGATTGCAAATGTAAAGAGCAATTCTCCTCAAAGGCGTGCAAGCTTGACAGGCAAACAGTGTGGAAAGTTGCACATCCATTTTCAAATTTAATCTAATTTAGCAAAGAAAGGTTAGGTAGGAATGGAAGCACACAGATCACGTGGCTCCACAAACTTTCCAGCTCTGCGTTTTATAGTCACTGAAATTTGCGTCATGATCTGCAGAGAAATATGTTAGTGTAAGACTGTCTCCACAGACAGCCCTAAAATACTGCCTCCCATAAAAATAATGTACAGCTCAGAACCACAGTGGCTTAATCTCCATTTCAGTCACCCACTCATTTAAAAGTTCATGTCTCTGTGATTCCTTCTGCAGTCTGAGATGCTGAGGTCCTCAGGTGGCTCTAGACCAGGCTACAGGACCACGGCAGTTTGGAGCTCCTGAGACCCAGTTTGGATGATGAGGAGTGATTGGTGTTTAGATGTGTATTCTATAAGTGTGTGAAGGTGGGAGGTTGATGATGAGTATCTTCCTCAATTGCTCACCATCTAATTTTTTGGAGACAAGGTCTGTCACTGAACCTGGAGCTCAGTGACTGGCTAGCAAGCTTCATGGATCCTACTGTTTTTGTCTCCCACTGTAGCAGGCATTTTATGTTGCTACTGGGGACCAAGGCTCAAGTCTTGTGCTTCCAATGCAGTCACTTAACCAACAGACTGAGTTATTTCCCAAGTCCTAACAACACCTTTTAATTCATATAGTGTTTGAGATCTTGGGGGTAGGGAAATTGTCAGGAGGTGGGAACTGTGATTCAGACTGCTGTGAGCCCTTGCTGTGAGTTTCCAGCACAATGCTTTCATGACAGCCATTCAACACCCTCTCTCAGGATAGCTGAGTTGAACAGGAGCAACATGTGGAGGCTATGAGCTTATGGCTGTAAGGAACTCTGAGCTGGAGAAAGCAGCATGCTGACCAGAGGTGTGGAGGGGATGGTGGAAACACAGAACCATTGTGAGACAGAAAATAGACAGTGAAGGGGTCACTATGACAGCCATACACTTTAGAACAACGTCATCTCTTCTTAGATCTTACCAAGACCCACAATTCTTTTCTTCTGCCTTTGGAATTACACATGTGTCCTTTTCTTCCAATACTTGAAGGTCTCTCATTTAAAGGCCAATGTGCATTTTCTCTTGAGTTGATTCACTTGTTCCTCTCTCCTTCTAGGTTTTGACCTAGTGAAATGTGAGGATCCAGGCATCCCTAACTATGGCTACAGGATTCGAGATGATGGTCACTTCACAGACACTGTGGTTCTCTACAGCTGCAATCCAGGCTACGCAATGCATGGCAGCAGTACCCTGACCTGCCTGAGTGGGGACCGTAGGGTGTGGGACAAACCTATGCCTTCCTGTGTGGGTGAGTTGGTAATGCTAGGTCAGGCTCTTATCAAGAACCAGTCCAAAAAGCTCATGCTACATGTGGCTTGGGACAAGTTCCTGGGAAAGGGCAAGGATTTCATTGTGTTGTTATATATGCTGATTGTCTCCCAAGGTAGACATAACAAGATCTACCCCTCCTTCCAAGGTCCCAACCACAAACTGAGGTTCAGTTCAACCACAGTTTGCTGTTGGAATCAAGGAGTGTCTTAGGTTTACTCATAAAACATTGTGTAAGGAGTTATGGGCAGTAGCATGAGTGGGCTTAAAGCAGTCACATTGGTAGGTGTGTACTCAGAATGCATGGTTACTTCCTCATAGCCTGTAGATGGTGATCCCCACACCTAGTTCTTCCCCACCTACCTACTCCAGCCCTTCTCTGAGACTGAAAGACTCTGTGTAATTTGGGCAGAATTGTATACAACTGGTAGTGGGAAGGGGTGGATACTCAGGTGAGGGTCATCACCCTCCCTGCCCCACCTTCTGTGAGGCAATAGTCAACAACCCAAAAATGATAATCTTTTGTGAGTAGTTCTGGCCAAACTCCTGAAATTGGCAACATTTCGGCTGGGAGGATAGTCTTCTACACCAGATCCCAAGATATATGTGCAAATGTGTGCACATTCTAGGAAGAAAGGATAGACAGCCTATACTTTGGAATTGACTGCATGTATGATTGTCACTAGAACTAGGGCAAGGAGTGCTAAGGTTTGCTTGCTAAGCTGTGAAAGCTCTGGAGTTTCAGGCTACCTGTTCTAGTTTAGCATGGGAAGAAGGAAAAAGAAGTGATGGGAAGGTGATTGACTTATCACCCACCTATTAATTAATACAGGCATGCTAGTGTTTGCTTGCAATTCTAAATAGGAGTTTAGGCAGGCAAACAACCGAGTAGACTTGCCCTGTCTTGTCTTTTGCAGCCGAATGTGGTGGTCTTGTCCATGCAGCCACATCAGGGCGTATACTATCTCCTGGCTACCCCGCTCCATATGACAACAATCTTCATTGCACTTGGACCATAGAAGCCGATCCTGGAAAGACCATCAGGTACTTTTTGCGTAGAATCAATCATTTAAAAGTGGGAGGTCTGTCTGTTCAGTGTTCTTGCAAAAGAACCAGTAGGCCATGTAATCTATGATTAAAACCCGTGAGCTAAAGTAAAAAACATTCAGCTGTGGCTAAGCTTTTTCTCACATGCTTTTCTATGCCTTTGTAATTGTATGTTTGGCTACCTACAATAAGGGGAAAAACCTGTGTCTGACAGTGAGCTTTGCTGTGTAACACAGTACTGTCAACACTGAGTACTAATTCTGTGGGTTGTCTGTGTGTTTTTAAAGTGTGCATGAGCTTTGCTGAGCTGAATTTCAATAGCCATCCTCCAGTATTCAGCCTCACCTTGGTGGTCCGAAAAGGCCAGAGACCCTCCCTGGACTCTCTTCGTATAGAATGGGTTATGGTAGAGTAGTGTTAACAATAAGAAAGGACAAAATATGTCTTCTGCTTATTTCACATTAGCTGGTAAGCCATGTGCCAAAGCAGGCCTCGGAGAACAGGCAGGGTTCCAGGTGTGAAGAAATCAATTCAGTCCCTACCCTTGTTAATAAAAAAAACTCAAAGAAAAACATAACAACAACAACAAAGAAAGAAACAAACAAAACAGGAATTGGTCAGTGGTCCTGGGAAAAGGTAGAACAAAAAAATGACAACTTAGAGTAAGACTGATAAAATGGAATTGTGAAAACTGAAGAAAACAGAGAATGTTTAAACCAAGATTTCTATTGCAATAAGTTGTGATGATTTGCATATGCTTGGCCCAGGGAGTAGCACTCATTAGAAGGTATGGCTTTGTGGGACTAGGTGTGTCACCGTGAGCTTAGGCTTAAGACCCTCACTCTAGCTACCTGGAAGTCAGTCTTTCACTAGCAGCCTTCAGATGAAGATGTGAAACTCTCAGCTCTGCCTATATCATGCCTGCCTAGATGCTGCCCTGCTCCCACCTTGATGATGACAGACAAAACCTATGAACCTGTAAGTCAGCCCCAATTAAATGTTGTTCTTTATAAGAGTCGCCTTGGTTATGGTATCTGTTCACAGCAGGAAAACTATAACTAAGAGAGAAGTTGGTACCAGGAACTGGGGGTTCCTGTGATAGGTCTGACCATGTTTTTGTTTGGAAGTATGTGGATTTGGGGACTTTGGAATTGGAAAGCCTTGGAATGCTTTAAATGGGGCTTAATGGGCTATGTTAGAAGGAATATGGAAGACTTTGTTGCTGTGAGTGGTTTGAATTATGCTGATTTTGCCCAAAAGGTTTTACTGGGTAAGAATTTCAGTACATGGTCTAGAGACTGTTTTTGTCATTATTTTGGCAAATGTGGCTGCTTTTTGGTATTGTCCTAAGAGTCTGCCTGAGGCTAAGGTGAAGAGATTTAGATTAATTGCTTTGAAAAATTAATTAAAAATTAATTAAAGTCTCAAAACAGCCTGGTGTAAATTCTGTTGTGTAGTTACTAATGTTCATTCTTATGAAGAGCATTTTAATGAAAAGGAACAAGCTGGGAAAGGAAAAATATAAAATATATGGTTGGAGTATTAAAGGGGTACCCAGAAGTAAAATGGAGCTGAAACCTGTGTTCAAGGATATTAAATTATATTAAGTGTGTAATGACCTTGGGGTAAGATCTCACCCAATTTAAGTTTAGGTCCAGGCATGGTAGAACAAACCTTTAATCACAGGATTCAAAGACAAGCAGATCTCTGAGTTCAGGGCCAGCCTAGAAGAGAGCGAGTTCTAGGTGAAGAAAAACTTAACTTCAGGCTTGGTGGACCACACCTTTAATCACAGTGCTTAGGAGACAGGCATGCAGATCTTTGAGTTCAAAGTCTACAGAGCAAGATCCAGGACAGCCAAAGTTAGTCAGTGAAGGAGTTGAAAAACAGAAAGCTAGTGACAATGTAATAGAACAAGGTGGCCCTGTTCCCACCCCAGCAAGCAGCAGAACTCCACAGGTTTGGCCATGTGGCTTTGTCTTTAGAGTCCAGAATAGAAAGGACTACTGGGATAATTGATGCTGGTTAGCTGGAGCTAAGAAATTAGCAGTGATTAAGAAGAGACCAGCATGACTGAGGTGAAATCTTCTGGGAAGTGTTTTCTTAGAGCACAGAAAAGCTGTGTTCCAGAGATAGCCAAGGTTGTACTGTTGCAGTAGCTATACTTGGTAATGTGTAAGAGTCACCCAGGTGGTACTGGTTTTGAAGGCATGAAGGCATCATGAAGAACAGCTGAGGCTTGGCATTGTGAGAGGTCATAGGAGGCCATTGGTGAAAGTGTAGCCTCAGTTTCAGTTGACAACCCAGGACTGAAGGGATCATGCAATGAATTTGAGGCTCAGCAACATGAAGAGAGCCTGTGAGAGGCTATTGCTGAAACCTAGTTGCACTGGAATACCCCAGTGTATTGGAAATGCCAGTACCATGGGATGACCACCAAGAACAGCAGAATCAGTGGAGTGGATCAACCTGAGATTAGAGTACTATAGAGTGAAGAGCTGGAGAAGTGATGCCAGCCCTTTGGAGGGGCCCAGAAGATCATGTGTGGATCCCAGACATTGAAACAAGATGCTGTAGCATTGAAGTTGCCTGGGAGACCCCAAGATGTTAGAGATACCATAGCTGTGGGCTATCTGCTGAGGAAAGCTTCTAACAGGGAGTGGAACCAGCCCAGGAGAAAGAAGTTGTGACAGTCAACAAAGATGAAAAAGGATTTAGAGATCTGAAGACAGCTTTGACATAAGACATGGAGACGCAGAGTTTGGAGTTTGCCCAGCTGGTTTCCTGTCTTGCTTTGGGAATTACAGTTAAGTGATTGGATGAATCTCAGAAGAGACTTTGAACTTTGGACTTTTAATATTATTGAGACTGCTATAGACTATGGGGACCTTTGAAGTTGAACTAAATGTATTTTGCATTATACTATGTTTAGGTATGGCTCCCATAAATGTTTGAACAAGCCAATGGGACCAGAGATTGGAATGTGATGATTTGTATATGCTTGGCTCAGGGAGTGGCATTATTAGAAGGTGTGGCCTTGTTGGAGTCAGTGTGTCACTATGGACATGGGCTTAAGACCCTCACCCTAGCTACCTTGAAGTCAGTCTTCTACTAGCAGACTTCAGATGTAGAACTCTCAGCTCTGCCTGCATGACACCTGCCTAGATGCTTCCCTTCTACCACATTGATGATGCTGGACTAAACCTCTGAACTTATAAGCCAGCCCCAATTAAAGGTTGTTCTTTATAAGAGTTGCCTTGGTCATGGTGTCTGTTCACAGCAGTAAAACCCTAATTAAGACATAAGTTCATGGTCAGTTTATTAAGCCCACAAATAGCAGGATTGTTAAAGTTCTGATGGGTCATCTGCCTAAGCTCAGCACATCATACAGAAGGCAATTGTGTTGTTAAGTTCTTAACCATAGTTCCATGTAAGGATCCACTGACCTTACATTAGATCTTCATCATGTAAGACGAGCAAGAAAGAGGACTTAAAACTGAGGAGAGGGAAAGAAGGGCAAGAAAGAAGAGAGGAAGAAGGAGATGAGAGAGAGGGGGGTAGGGAGGGAGGGAGAGAGAGGAAGAGGGAGAGGGAGAGGGAGGAGAGGGAGGAGAGGGAGGAGAGGGAGGAGAGGGAGG